AGTTGTCGACTACAGGACACCGACGATCGCCGACCACTTCCCAGAACCAGAGCCACGCCTCAGGATTGATGGGTTCGCCCGCCGTTCCCAACACTTTCAGTGTTTGTCGAGAGTATTGTTTGACGTATTGGTCGCCAAACTTCATGAGCGAACGGATAAGAGTGGGCGCAGTATTGAAGATATTAACTCTCCATTTGTCTATTATATGCCAGATATGGCCCGGGTTTGGGTGAATGGGTGTGCCCTCAAAGAGCACTATTGAACACCCGTTGGCCAGCGATCCGTAAACAGTGAACGTATGCGCGGCCATCCATCCCAAGTCTGCGGTCGAGAAAAACACGTCTCCGTCGGTATAATTGAATACATATTTGAATGTTATGTAAAAGTAGAGGAGATAACCACCGATTGTGTGGACAATGCCTTTTGGTTTTCCCGTACTTCCACTTAGAATATAATAATACACACAATTTGATTTAGTTATAATTATTATACAACAAATTATATTTACTAACAAACCTGGTATACAATATGAACAGCGGGTCTTCCGCTTCCATCCATTCGGGTTCGCAATAATCGAGGCGGGGCTCAGCGTTGTGTATGGCGTCGATCATATCGTTTGTGGCCACATCGAAGTTCTCGCTAAGTTTGAACATGGCCGTACTCGATGCGATTATAGCTTTGAAATCATGCTCACAAGTGATGGCGTGAAAAACGCTTATGGTCCAAAAAAAATCATGCTCACTTTTTGGACCATAAGCGTTTTTCACGCCATCGCTGGTATGACTCCACGTGCGACACATCTTGTCATACATGAGTGTCTCGTTGGCACCGGGAGTGTGAAGCCCTCCGGGCTCTACGATAGACACGCGTACACCAAATGACCGCATTTCCCGACGTAATGTGTCCGCAAAGGCTATGACCGCGTGTTTGGACATTGAATACCAGGCGAATAATGGGAGAGATATGTGACCCAAAGTACTCGCCACGTTCACCACCCGACCTAAATCAGTGGTTGTGTGGTGTGAATGAGTGAAATGAACAAGTGTCATAGAGCCGAATTATTACAGTACGTTTGTACAGGTGTATAAAATGTGTGTGCATAGACAAAAATTGTGTATTTAGTAAACAATTTTAAGATAAAATGTTTAGTAAAATTAATTATGCATTTAAACCAACCCTTTGACGCCCGGATCAGAGGCAAGAAAGTACGGGTCACTCGAATCACTCCAAACATGTTTACGGCGAATATGGGTTCATAGATTTGGGGCGAACCATGCGAATACCATCCCGTTTAGATATGTTGTCGCATAACTCAATGGATTAATGTATAATAAGTTTATTGAACCATTTTCACGACTGTTACCACGTATAGTTAATATATTTATCAAAATAACATTAATAGATTAATAAGGGAACAATTAAATTACAGTTAATATAAAAGAATTATGATGAGGGTATTAAAAATATTATTTACTAACAGTCTGAAAGTGAACGGATTATTTGTAAAATCGGTGGCACTAATGAGTGTCTCAGTTGTGATACCGTTTGAATACATGGTATAAAATGTGTTAATTGCCAGCAAAACATTGCATACAATTATAAACAAAACTCCTTTCTTGAAATATCTAAAAACCCACAAAATGATTAAAAATAGTTTACATTAATAGCGAGTTAACTACTGATATAAATAATTACAATTACAAATGTTTTACACTATTTTCAGCTCTCTCTCTCTCTCTCTCTCTCTCTCTCTCTCTCTTTCTTTTTCTCTCTCTCTCTCTCTCTTTAAAATTATGAAGATGCAATGTAATAAGGTGTTAGTGTATATTGTATTTAGTTCATACCTGCAAATCAATATCATAAACGGTGGCGTAAATATTGTGAGTTGAATTAATATCATGATAGTCCAAAATGGAGCCGCGCACTATACATAAATATTACAAAGATCATGGTGTAAAATGCTTGAAATCCTAAATTCTAAACTAATTACCAATTTATTGACATAATTTCCTATAAATAATGCGCTAAAAATCCAATTCTCTGCACAAAAATCATTTACTCGTTTGTCATAATATCGATCGGAAACCAAATAATTGATAAAAATTATATAAAAATAAAGGGAGAGATAATATATGGGAACAATTCGTGTAATTCTAATACAACTAGAATAGCGATAAATATGTTTAAATCTAACATTGTTTCACCTATAGTAAATGAACATGTATATTTAATTGCAAGTTTAAACATTGCATTTTCCCTGTTTTATAAGATTACATATTAATTAATGAACTTGAAATTTCCAAATTAATCAACTGTTTTATATTGTGGTAAACATGAATTATATAGAGTTATTTAGTTTTAATCAGTAATAATTTGACAACAATTAATAGTTTAACTGTTTTGTCATTTTTAAAGAATGGTTAGGTTTTATTTGACAATTAAAATGTCAAACATAACTAAATTTAGTTTACTTTTGTTATTTCAATAGAATTATTGAAATTTTTATCAAATCAAATGAAAGCTGTTTTACATAGAAATGAATATAAAACTATAATTTAAAATTAAATCTAAAAATGGTTGTAAAAAGTTATAATCAGTTTATCGTCAGATCAAACGCTATGTCTTTAAGTCTTGCTTTAAAATTTTTAATTGTTAAGGGGTTGAGAGCTTAGGGTGTAGTTTCCGATCGCACCCTCCAATAAGACTTAAAACAATAACAATTTATTAATTAATGGTTTGGGTCAGTAAATGGCAGCTTCCAAAAAAAGTTTTTGACTAGACATTATTTTTGTTGTAGTATGGTATATTTTCAAACATTAATCACAAATGCAATTACATTTTGTTTACAAAATATTACCCATAAATTATTAAATTAATGCAACCTACCACACTCTTTTTCATAACGACATATTTGAATGCATTATAAAACTAATAAATTGATTATAAAATATGTTGCCCTATAATGCGGGCAAATGCACAGATATGCACTCATTGACAGACTATGGTTTGGGCTGAGAGCGAGAGCCTTAGCTCTACAGCCAACTTAACTCTAACTATACAAACATATTACAAAGTAAGAAAGGGTATGCCAAAATGGACACAATTACGTCTATACCATTTACTCTACCGTCGCCATTATATGTTTACTTTAACTGTGTATACTTTCCTATGGAGTGTTAGCAACGTAATTGTGTCCATTTTGGCATACCCTTTCTTACTTTGTAATAGATCTGCCTGAAGTCAAGCACTTGCAGGTAGTGTTGCCAACTGGTCAAGGTTTGCCTTGATTTGCAAGGTGAGATAGTTCTGGTCAAGGTGAAAGGCGAGGGTCTAACCTTGACATAGACAGGTCAAGGTTAGAGCAAATGAAATTACCGTATGTCTATTTTAGGTATTTATTGTAATGAACACATTATTTAAAGCCCAGAATAATATTTATTGCCTATTTGTATAATAGAAAACAAATCCTTTATTAAAAACCCTTTATAAAAAAGACTTTTGTCTTCAAAATGCCCGTATCTTATATGGAAAATACACTGTATTATAATAAAACTTAGCGTTATAATTAAATTGAAATTTAAATTAACATTTTACTCATATTTCAAAAATATTTATAATCAAATATGCAATAATAATCGTGGTCAAGGTTTGGTCAAGGTGAATTTAGAAAATTTTGTAATTTTCAAGGCGGTAGTCGATCAGAGTTGGCAACACTACTTGCAGGTCCTAAATATACATTTGATAAGTAATAATACAATAAGTGTTATAATAATCTTAACTTTTAAAAAAAACTGTAAAACAGTATAAAAACTAAATTAAATATTAATAATTATTATATCAAATATGAATTTTATTAAATAAAGTTTTTGTAATTACTTGAAATTTACTAATTACTAACAATATTATATTTTAGATAATTGTTTAATACGAGATACGAGTAGTCAAAAGTTCCTGGAGTATGGACTCGTCGGCCATTGTAGACGTGTCGCCAAATTTGTGGTCATTTTGTGCCACTTTAGTCAATATTCTTCGCATAATTTTACCCGATTTAGTCTTCGGGAGAGCACTGAACGCATGAATCACATCCGGATCGGCCAGAGCTCCGATTTTGTTACGAACTTTTAATGAGATAGTATAAAAATTGATTATAATTTAAATGTTTAAAACCCAATCTTTAGAAAAATATTGTTCATGAATAAAATACCTCTGCGTTTTATATCCATCTCTAAATCAGCGGTCATTTCAAAGCCATTATTGAGGACAACAAACACGTGAATACACTGTCCTTTGATGGGATGCGGGGCCGACACGGCTGCCGCCTCTGCGACGGCTCTGTGCTCGACAACAGCCGTCTCGACCTCTACTGTAGACAACAAATGTCCGGAAACATTGAGAGTGTCGTCATTCCGACCGGTCATCCAATAGTAGCCGTCGG